GTGTGGGTCCCAGCTGCACACACACGGGGGTCCCAGCCGTGCACCCCTGGCTCAGCGCAGCTCAGCCCAGGCCCGGGCACGGTGGGGGCGACGCCGGCCCCCACACAGCTCTGCTCCCGCCAGCGGGGGCCGGTCCCCGTGGCCACCTCTGTCACCCCCCACCCCAAACCAGCCTTCGCTGCAGCCACCGAATAAACACCCCGCGCCTCCCGGGGCCACGCAGCCGCCAGCTCCTCGGGGTCTCCCTCCCGGACCCCCACAGCCGCCTGCCGGGGTCCCCCGTCCCACTGCCCCGAACAGCCCCCAGCCCTGGGGGCTGCAGCCCCGCTGCCCCCCAACAGCCACCGCCCCAACCCGGCCCACGGAGACAGCGTGCCCCCCACGAGGAGCCACGCACCCACAGATGTCCCACGTGCCCCACGGATACACCATGTGCCCCATGGATGTGCCACGTGCCCCACGGATACACCATGTGCCCCACGGATGTGCCACGCACCCCACGGATACACCATGTGCCCCACGGGGGAACGACGCACCCCACGGATACACCGTGCATCCCACAGATGTGCCACACGCCCCACAGCTACGTCACGTACCCCATGAGGACTCATGCACCCCACAGATACATCCTGCACCCCACAGGGGAACCATGTGCCCCACAGATACATCACGACCGCCGTGGCGGAGCCATGTACCCCACAGATACATCCTGTACCCCATACGGGAACCACGTGCCCCACAGGTTCACCACGTGCCCCACAGATGTGCCACGCACCCCACCAATATATCGTGTACCCCATAGGGGAACCACGTGCCACACATGTACATCATGTACTCCACGGAGGAACGACGCCCCACGGATACACCACGCGCCCCCAGATGTGCCATGCATCCCCGAGATGTGCCACGCGCCCCACAGGTACAGCATCTACCCTATGGCTGAGCCACGCACCCCACGGATACATCATGTACCCCACAGGGGAACCACGCACCCCATGGATACCGCATGCACCCCACGGGGGAACCAAGCACCCCAAAAATACATCACGTACCCCACGGGGGAACTACGCACCCCACAGATACCGCATGCACCCCATGGATGTGCGACACACCCCATGGATACATCGGGTACCCCACAGGGCAACCACGCACCCCACGGATACCGCATGCACCCCACGGATGTGCCACGCACCCCACGGATACATCACGCACCCCACGGGGGACCCACGCACCCCATGGATACATCATGCACCCCACAGGGGACCCACGCACCCCATGGATACATCACGCACCCCACGGGGGAACCAAGCATCCCACAGATACCGCATGCACCCCACGGATGTGCCACGCACCCCACGTGCACATCACGCACCCCACGGGGGAAGCGGGTGCCCCACAGATGCACTGCGCACCCCACGGATGTGCCCCGTCCCCCACGCAGGAACCACGCGCCCCACGGATACACCGCGAACCCCACGGGGAACCACGCGCCCCACGGATACACCGCGAACCCCACGGCTGCGCCACGCGCCCCACGGCTGCCCCCCGCGCCCCCCGGATTCCCCCCGCCCCC